AACAGTGCTGATCCTAAAGTGGCGTTGGAAAACAATAACGTGGCTTGTCTGTAGGCCTGTATTAAAGTACTGTGATGTTTATTTATTTTAAAACAACAGTTTATTTATTAATAATTTATTTAAACACTTATTTATTTTATAACACAACTATTCTAATTTATATATACTTCGAATGTCTTTAAACTGATCACTATTTATATTCACCACTGTCTATCTACTAATTACTATTTATCTTCACTGTCCATATAACAACTAACTACCTGTGTTCCTCCACCAGTATTTATATACAAAGTTTAAATTATGGGCGGGGCTCCAGAACGTTCTCGCCAAAAATTAGAAACACTATCACGTTATATTTAGAATGGACTAGAAATAGTATCCCGTCGACTCAGAAATGTTCGCGAAAGTGTCTCCACCATAGTCGTCACATAGGTTTGGTCTTAAGGGGTTTAATTATGTATAATAATCAGACAAGTTGAGCCTCAAAGGCCAAATAAGACAGAGAGGGACTTGGAGGGTTAGAGCATGACTGAATAATGAAATGGCTCACATAACAGTACTATCACTCCTGCAATATGGAGTATTAGACTACTAGTACTCTAGGCTATTGGCCTTAGCGGTCAAAGCTAGACACCAATAAAAAAATTGGTTAACAATACTAAATGAATTTACACTTTGAGTTACAGACTACATCTATGTTTAAAGATGACTAGGTGACTAGTATCTAAGCGACTTTATGAACTTGCAGGTATAGCTCATGTTACAAAAAAATTGTTGGATTGTTAGAAAATTTTACATAATAGCTTAAACCGCATGTTGGAAAAACTCTTTTTAACAAATACTGACAGCCGTATGCATAGTCGATCGCCAGCGATCCGCCGGCGAAAGCCCAAAAAGCTGGCGACTAGCCGGAGATTGTCACCGCAATGTCATTTCACGCAAGTTTTCATGTTCTTTTATAGGGAAAAATTTGATATTCGATCATTATTTTTTGAGTTTTAAGAAATGAATCATGAATAAAATGCGAGAGATACCGGTGATAATCACTATAAAAGAAAATAAAAACTTGCGTGAAATGACATTCCGGTGACAACCTCCGGCGAGTCGCCACCTTCTTGGGCTTTCGCCGTCGGATCGCCAGCGAATCGCTGGCGATACGCCGAAATGAATCTCTGGCGAGTCGCTGGCGATCGACTATGCATACGGCTGTGAAATATTTAAAACACCCCCAATTTCAATTAAATACAGATAAAAAAGTTAATTTTTAATTTAATAAAGACAACAGTGTGTTCACACGATTATCCAAAGAGAAAGGACAACTACTACTGAGCTCTGCCAATAGCGAGTAGAACCCAGGAGTTAATCATTGATCTAGAAAAGGTTAAACCTTCATATGGAAAGAAATCAGAGTTGATTTAATGAAATCATACTTCTTGCGAAGCCAACCTGGATGTACATGAATGTGCTACCAGTCTGTAAGAGCAAAGTTGAAGTAAAAATTGCTATGTAATACAAAATATAGAAATTATCCCAAGTAAGGAAGACTAGGTATCTAGTGGCATGTTTTGTACCTAACTACTAAGGGGTTGATGAGTGTTGAAGTTGACTTTTTAACTTCAAAGAACAAAAATTAAATCGTATTTAAGAATTAAATATCCATTAACTCCAGTTTTCCTCTTTCGTTAAATCGTATTTATTTAGTCTGGAAGTGAATCATTTATTTATTTTTTATTATAGGTGGGGTTTTCCGTAACTCTTTAAGTCAAATGAGCGTCACGGCAAATAAAAATAATAGTCGTCCTTCCCCCCCGACACAAGCCCTGCTTTCAAAACTTCAGAGGTTGACTCATAATGGGGTAATTTATAAGGAGATTATTATTATATTATTTCGAAATAAAAATAGTATTTACTGAAGATAGAAGTGATCCTTTTGAACTTTCTGAAAATCGCTTTAGAGAACTTTATTATCAGCTGAATAAAGAGTGGGTTTATATTCTGTTACGTTATTCTTATATAGATGTTCTAAGAATCTAATAAAGTGAAGGCATCTTTCTGGAAGTTAAATATTCTTTTCTATTGTCAAAATATTAGTATTTTATCTATGAGTAAAATAGTATCTAATAGTAAATATAGGTAAGTTTTGTCAACTTTGCAAATCCTTATACCATCCTGGAATAGCAAGAATGGATTCACGTGAAAAATCTTCTATATGCTTTGGAAGACATAAAGAAAAGATTCTCCGTCTACAGCCTGAGACAACGTTAATTTGGACGTCTTTCTAAAGTAGCCTTCCTGTAGACTAGGCCACGAGTCGCCACTGACTTAGACTTGAACACGAAATTTTGAAATAAATAAAAACATTGAGGCACTTCTACGCATTCGTATAGTTCCATACCCTCTAAATATGTATAATAAAATATTTTCATTTTTTGTCTCATAAAATTAAAAGTAAATTCTCGAACTTCTCACATTTCGATTGTAATAGTAATAATCAGTACGAATAGTTCTTTTTCCAAACTGTGTGTATTTATAAATGTAATATTACCATTTTTATTTATCAAACATCTAAATGAAGGCTTCTTATCTAATGTCTATTAATTGACGCAGTGGTACTGCTGAGTCCTACACTGATAACAATGGAAAAATTCCTTGTTTTAATCGATTGAAACCGAATTACACCCGAACGGTGCATTGATGAAATCAGAAACGCTGGTAGAAGGGAGCAAAATTATTTTTAACATTTATTGAACTTTGGATTTTTTTTGTGACTAAGTCCTTTATATTGTTATTAAAAACTTCTGTAGGATGATAGTTCAATCCTTCATCTTTTGTTAAAAAAAATCAATAAGATATATTAAATATTGTGTTGTCTAGAATTAAAACCAAATACTCAAATTTCACACATTTCCATTGCATTTGTGAGCTGCAATAGCTATTGAAGCAACAAAAATAAAATTCTTTATTTGTACTAGGGACAATCTACAAAGTGTATTGTGTTGTACATAACTAAATATTACATAAAGATGAAACTAAAAATTAAATTAAAATTGATGCAAAAATACCAACCGCACGATGTTCTCCATTAAAAGGTGTCTCAATAATGTAACACTTTGAAATATGTAAAATTAATTGTTAAACCATTACAAAAAAAAAAAAAATCGGGCATATTCAATTTTTTAGAAATAAGTCAAAAACTATATTATTTTTAATAATTTTAAAAATGAATTCAAAATTAGAATCAAATTTTCTAAAACATTTCCTATTTATTGATCTCATATCTCATGTACTTATCGAGATACCAATATAGAGACTTGAGTTTGGCGCACAGTACCTATAATTGTGATTTTTGCTTTTACATTTTAGAATTTTTGATATTTGATTGCCGAAATATTTTTTTTTGTCGTGATTGAATAATTTAATGAAAATTTAGACCTAATACTTTGAAAATAGTTTCTCCAAAATAAATTTAATTTTGATTTTTGAAATTTGGATTTTTGTTTGGTTGTCGATTTTGTTTTCAAAATAATTAAAGATGTCGATACCGACCATTGATTTTAATTCTTTAAAGAAAATATTTTGATGAAAATAGCAGTAGTTGATAAGCAGAATTCATGTTTAGATTAATATTTGAATAGTTAGTCGTGTAAGCGTAAAACTTAGGGTTTTGGAAAAATTCGTAGCACAAAATTAGTTTTACACCTTTTCTGGATACTACCCTAATTCAAGTATTCAGAAATATACAGAAGTGTCCTAAAAAGCTTTATACAAATGGAAAAAGTTTTATCTTTATTAGTACGAATTTAACAAAAGCTAATAGATGTATTTAAAATACAATTCCTTTAAAATATGCAAATCATTTAAGTGTTTTTTTTTTTTAATTCTGATAGTTTTGCAAAAATCTATACAAACACCACAAAAGTAAATGCCTGGACTATTCCTATACAATAAACTGTCAGCGTCTTACCATAAATAAACCATTTTAAAAGACTTGATTAACGGTAATATAAAAGACAGTTGAATTGATAAATAAATATAAAGAAGACGACAAAACTTATTTTTATTTGAATTCATTATAAATATACAACACTTTCAAAAAATATTTTTCGGCTTCATAATATTTCTTGTTCATCAAAAATAAACTTCTCTATTTAAAAAAGACCATTACGTTTCTTAGTAAGCAACATTTGCAGTTGAATATGAAAATATAATTTTCTGGTCACTCGATATATATCTATTCATTCTTATTATTTATAAAAAGCACACATTTAATGTTTTTAATTCAAAGAAGAATAGACACCCTCAAATCATTGGAACTTCAAACTTTTGACAACAGTGGCCTTTTCTAATAACACAATGTGGATGTTATGGAAGGTTATTTACTTCGATAAAATGCAGAAGCCACAACAAGAAAGCAACACCATGTTTGCACCCACCTTAAAAAGCATAGAACCATGTAAAATCATTTAATACAGTATTTTGAGCTATTTAATATTGCCAGGAATTGAAATTACCTTCGAAAGCAGAATATTCTGTGAATTTATAATATCTTTTTCTTTTATTTATTACTGAATAACGCTATAAACTTTTTGTGTTCTGGGGTCTTATGATAGCCTGTAAGTCCATGCGTCGACTCTGGGGGAGAAACCCCAGGTGCGCCCCACGGTTAATAATAACATAATAATACTCTCCTGACGGCATTGTTCGTAAGAGGATACCTCAGGGGTTGTCCTATATAAAGTTGGTCAAGATCTAATAATGGGGTCCATAAGAAAATCATTTTATTTTTTAAGAAATTTCAGTGATAATTCTTTACCACGTTGTCCAATTTCTATGATTCTTTTTTGTTAGATAGGGGATACCTCAGGGGTAGTTCCCTATACAATTGGTCAGGATCTGATGATCTACGAGAAAATCAAATGCTCAATTTTTAAGAGTATCTGCATGATTTTGATGTCGGTTTTTTAAAATTACTTTCATGACTTGTTTTAAATTTGTTTTAGTGGGTGTACAATATTTTGGAACACAAATCTGAAGTCGAAAGGATACATTTTGAAGATGCAGACCCCATTAATGGATTCATTATGGTTCCTGATCTTAAATGGAATGGAGAAATAGATTCATTGTATTTATTAGCAATTATCAACAGACGTGATATTAAATCTATCAGAGACCTAACAGATGAACATCTACCCTTGTTGAAGAATATTAAAGAAAAAGGGGCTGTAAGTACATGTCTTTGATTATTTAAAAATACAGTTTTTATTTTATTGACTACTTATAAACTTTAATTATTACATTCTTTTATTAAAGCATACTTTTTTTAGGAAGCCATTAAAGCCAAATACTCCTTAGATATATCTCGTTTAAGGATATATCTCCACTACCAACCATCGTTTTACCATCTTCATGTACATTTCTGTTATTTACAACATGAAGCTCCTGGAATTTTAACAGAAAAAGCGCATCTACTCTCTAACATTATTAGTAATATTGAATTAGTTCCAGATTACTACCAAAAAATAACTATTCCTTTTGTAGTTCGTGAAAATGAAAAACTATTTGCAAAATTAAAAACAAAAGGTGTTTTGGAAAACTGTTAAAATGTCTGATAAAATATGCAAATCTATTTTATTAGAAATTAGACCAAGGCTACAATGTGTGAATGTGTTTATAACTTTAACTTCGAATCCTGTCTCTATTGAGGTTCTTCTTGAAAATGAAGGGGTATTATTAGTATTAGGAAAAGAAATTACAAGAGTACCGTGTAAAAATATACAAGTTTTAAAAAATAGTTTGTCCTCGTTGAAAATTAGTGATAAATCTATGAGTTTTAGATTTTTGACTAACAACTCTCTTGAAAAAGTCGGTACTTTCAAAGCAGAGTTTTTACAAAATACTGTTGCTAGTATTGAATCTTTAAGTAATAAACCGTTGTTATCAAAAGGTACTCGATATACAATCCACTGTTCTAATTGCAAAAAGGCGTTATCTGATGCCATTGAATTTAGTAGAATTTTACCACTTCCTTCTGATGGTTCTGATAGTTCTGATTGGTTTTGCCATAATCATGGGAATAAAACCGATTTCAGTCTTGATCCAAAAGAAACTGACGTTTTCTATTCACAATGTTTTGTACATATGAATGTAAACAACTTAAAAAATTTAAAACATTCTAATAAAGTTCTAGCTTGTAAGTATTGTCTGCAGTGGTTAGGAATTCAACACAATGATACCACACTTAAATTTTGGTTCAACACCGTTACTTTTTCAAGTGATACTGGCTCAATTCATACATCAAGTTTAGAAGATATTTTTCAAACTATTAAAAGTTGTTTTAAGTATTCATTTCACAATTCTTCGAAACTGTTTATATCTTGCAAAACATCTCCAAACAGTGTAAATACTCTTCTGTTATGGGTGTTAGAGAAAAAGCTTCAAATTTTATATGGAGAACCGGATGTCGTGGAACACAATGTAGCAAAAGTTTTATTTAAATTTATCGAGAAAGACAATAATACTCTTGTTAATCAGTGGCGAAACGATACTTTAGTTAGTATTCTAGATATATCTAAACCGATGATGATAGATTTGTTAAACAAGTTACATAAGTGTAATAAATTATTCCCTTTGGAATATTCGAAATCTAATGATTTTAAGGTATCCTATTTGTTTCTATATGATAGTTTTGAATAAAAATTTTGTACAAAAATGTTGTTTCAATTGTTTTCCTTTCAGTGCATATCTTACTCGAAAATTGACGTTATTTTCGAGTAGAGTTTGTTCGGGAGGCAGGGGCCTTTTTGACAAATCATTTCTTGCCAACTGATATTAACAATCAAAGCAGAGGCCACCTAGTGAATGACGAAAACGACCGTCAGCTGCTCCTGTAAGGGTGGGAACGGTTGTGGGATGCGATGAAACCTTTTTTTTTAAACAAAATTTCATACCAGGATGTTACTAACGTCAAATAGCATATTCGCTCCGTGCGTGACGGCAGCACCAACTAAAATATATACTGAAGGGCGATTTTGCGTGTATTGACAGTATCATTTTTAATAGAATTCGTATTTAAAAAATGTATTTTTTAGTTTTAATAAAAGTGTGTTGAATTACGCATATTTCAAGCACAAGTTTCTGAAATATTTTAGTTGATTATTTCATTGAAAATGTTTCTGAAACATGGTATAAATGTTACACAGAAGGTTATGTTGTAAAGGGCCAATCTAAATATTTCAAAAACCTTATTATTAGTTTTTTTTCTACTCCATCTAATCAATAAATAATAGTATAATTCGAGAATTGTTGTTGAGGACTTACTTTCTCGTGAGGCACTGTACAAATACATTAAAAAAAAAATCTCAAAAATTTGCAAGGTAAGGTATAGTTAAAAATTCAGTATTAGATAAATAAGGACTTCAACTATTAGAAAAAAATTAATTTTAGTCATAATCTAATAACTTTTTCTTAACATTTGGGGCGAGAGGTGTGGCGAAAGGACCTCCTTAAGAAAATACTTTCAATTTTTATATTTGAAAACCAAATATTTATTTGACAACCAAATATTTATTATTTAAATGTCTTGAGGACAATTTTTACAATTTCAACAAAAATAATGTAAAAAATATATAATTTCTGAACTACCGTCAATCTAAACATTTGTTATCAACTTTTTTATATTTTAGGGCCAACATGTGGTTAAGAGCTTGTAATAGGGAAGATTTGAGTAACATAGATGTGAACAGTCTTCATCGGAATTACAGGTTGTGTGAGAAACATTTTGAGAAGAATTGTTTTTCTAAAACGTTGAACCGTAAACGTTTATTGCCTACTGCTGTTCCCACATTTTTTATCCATCTAAGTCATCAGCCAAATGTCTATCTTCTTCCTAGTACATCGACCAAGTGCTTCCTCTGTTGAGACTATCATTGAACATGAACGAGACATTTTTGAAAGCGTACCATGTGCAACCTTTGGACATTCTTAATCAAAAATCCTACCTCCAAATTATTATAATGAATTAGATGTTCATTGATTCACTATTGATTAAAAATGTTCTGATTGACTACATCTAATCAAAATACATATGTATTTCTTGTAAAGTAGCAAAAAGAAAACAAAAAAATGTATTTTGTGGTGTTATTATTTTAACTGTTTTTTAATTTTTGATTTGTTTCATTTATACAATATTTAAACACTTAAACAATAATATATATAATCTTATAAACAGTTGTATGATATATACGTTAGGGAAATTAGGACAAGGATGATTAAATTCTATTTCTTTCATAATATCAAAAAAACCTATGCGATATACCAGACATTACACAGGTATTGCTAAAAATAGATATAACATTTTTTTATAATTTAAATATATAGATAATAAACTTTTCATTTGGAGTTTTTAGGCCTCCATAAGTGCTTTAGTTGCAATCATATGTTAAAATCTGTGAACTATCCAAATCTTCACATTCTTTTGAAAATTTAATAAATGTATCACACCCATGTATGCCTAAAGCTTTTTTGATCAAATAGCCACAAACATATTTAAATGGATTTTGAACTATTATATTTTCTGTCCTGTAGCTGTAATTAGGAAGAAAAACAGCTTCTCGAGTGTTTTTATTTATTTCAGGATACAGAGAGACAATATTTTTTACATCTAATTGTAGCAAGTGCTTGTCCAGGTCTTCATTACAATTCATGGAATTGCAATGAAGATAATTTTGACAAAAAAGTTTTTTAAATGCCCTTTCGAATTGTACAGGTGTTGGATTAATTAAATTCCCACCCTGTTGCCTAATGGGCACAACAAATTTTTCTAGACAGTCACTGTTGATTCTTCTAGCCATTAAATATTTAAATCCCGCAGCAGATAACCTTTCCCATACAAATTTTAAACCATAAAATCGTTAAATATAAACATCTAATTTTTATGATGTGACGTTAATAGTATTTAATTATATACATAGGTAATATAAGCAATTGGGCAGCATTGTGCTTAACGGGTGACTTACAACAGGCATTTGCTAAAACTCATCTGAAGTCAAAAAATTTGTACGTAGGAACAAAAATTGAAATAAAATAATTCTTGTATTGTAAATTCATTAAAAACTTACTAATTTGTAATTGTGTGTTTTAATAAATATTATTGTTATATGTTGTTTCACTTCTAAAAAGATACCTACATAACCTCATTTTAAATAAAAAAATAAGGTGCCGAGTTAATTTATTAGTTCCAGGAAGAAAACAAAAAACACATTTCATACAATGAATGGCATACAAAAGTAATTTATTTTAATCTAATGATAAAATTTTAAAATTGGCACATCTAGATTTTGACCGGAACTCATTTATTTAAGTTACACAATATTTTGATTAATTTATTTGCCTAGAATACATTAAAATGTTATATGTAGGTACATGTTTTAATTTTTTTCTAAGTGTACATCGCTAATTTGCAATTTTAGAGTTTACTTTTCTCCGTGTAGAAATAAGCGACAAAAACGTCAACTGTCATTGAAAATCTGACCACCCCGACATCAAAGAAGCCGACGCAATCTGTCGCTACTGTATTCTTTATCACATACTTTGATTTTCTTTTACTATACGGAGAATGGTCGCACTGCGCAGCTTTCTGAGTGCCTTTTAAAAGGAGATAGAAAACTCCGCCATTTTGAACTCTTATTACGTGTTGCCTACACCTTGGCGCAATATTTTTAATAGGTGCGTTTTAATCATCCGCTTCTGCTTCGGAATTGTCGGTTTTCTTGTTTTAAAACGACTAAACCGACAATTCCGGAAGCAGAAGCGGATGATTAAAACGCACCTGATATTTTGCTTGCTGCTGTCAGTGTCAGTGAATATTATTTTTGAAGTCACAGTTTATTGCTAAAGAATCAGTTAGCTCACTCGGACCAGTTGAAAGTTCCAAAATAACATCCACTCCAGGGATACAAATTCAGGATACGCAGAAGTCTGCTGTTTTATTGTAGGCGGTTGTCATATATTGTATTATCCGAGTTGCACAGTGTATAAACTAAAACATTGAGATCCAAAGTGCCGACGCAGAGTGAGCGATCTGATTCTTTAGCTGTAAACTGTGTCACAGGGTTCAAAATGGCCGCGCCCTATGTTGGGCGTGTCGGACCTCTCTTTTGCCTCGTATAGTAATCAAAGTATGTGATTCTTTATACTGGGGAAAGGCGTCCGACACGCCTAATATAGGGCGCGGCCATTTTGATGGAATTACTACTAGGTTAGGCAACACATTTTTCCAAAATGTTAAACTGATAGCCTAAATCTTGGTATTTTGATATTTTAAATGAAGGCAACAAATGTAGAAGAAACGTTTATTTATTTTAAATAATATACAAGAAACTTCTTTGAAGTAAAGTTATAATTACAAGCGCATTTTGAAATAGAGGTGAGTGGTCTTAAATTATTTCTAAAGCTGTGCATATGATTTTACCTTAATATTATGATATTTTTCGCCAGTCCCAATGCCCATGAACAAACATTTTATTTTTGTAATGTAATAAAAATCTTTGAGGCTAAACAATCTAATATTATATTTTGCATTTTTTTAACTGTAAATATGGTA